AAATGTCTTGATAATTTTGAAATATTTTCCAGAGTGATTTTAAGCAAAAAAAAAAATTTATTACGCTGCTTTTGGATAAATGTCAGGGCGTTAATATGCAAAATGTTGTTATTTTAACCAAGAAGGTGTAATTCAAAAGGTCTTGACCAACTACACTTACATTAATTTATGTCTTTCTCATAGACAGGCAAAAAGTATAAATCTCCACCTTCTCATCACATCTATTGTCAGTGAACAAAATATAATACCGAAAATTATTCAGATCTCATTAAACGCTGCTTTCACAGGAAACTTTAAAAACTTTGGACATGCAGCCACATTGTTTAGCAAATTACTGAAGTGTTACGTGATGGATAAGCCAGGGGCAGGCTAGTACATGCTGTAAACAAAGATAATAAAATAATGCAACTTAACCTTCTCATCACATACTGGGCTAACACATCAGCTTACGCCATCCTCAGCCTGAGGGTACTCACCTGGACAAGTGTCAGGGCTCACTTGAGAAACTAAGTTGATCAGTTCAACAAGCCTTTCTAGGCTAAGAAGCCTGTGACGCCTCTACTTGCTTTATTTTTTTCTCTCTCTATGAAAAGTGAATGTTGATCCCGTCTCCATGTCTCCTGCAGCTTCTTACTCCTGCAAAGTGGGATACAGGATGGATATCCTGTTGGATACAGGAAGGATGACTAACCTGTATGGATCAGTCTGTAAAAATGGTAGTGAGTGCTGAAAAAGAGACAGCACTTCCAGCCAGTGTTGCACCACTGATAGCAATGGCTGCTTGCAAGTATTGCTTTCAAGTTGTCCTCTTTATTAGGAGATATCAAAACCTCCAGTGGCAATTCATCACCTTTCTAATTCTATTGGCAGTAATGGAAAAATGCCAAGTCATTTTCCACAAATTTCAGCATCTCTCTTTAAATTCATATAGCATCCAAGATTAGAGTACAACACAAGTCAAAGACCATTGACTGGCTGTTTGGCGACCAAAAAACCTTTAATCCTGTGTTAGAGAGACGTCACCAAGTCATTTTAAAGGACAAGGGAAAGTAGCATATCAGAGTATAAGGTTTTTAATGGGAGATGTTGAGGTTTATTTGTTTCATTTCATCTGCCCATGGGTTGGTAACAAGGCTGTTCTTTGAGACCATGTCATGAAGGCAAACTTCATCTCAGCTCCTAATAGCCATTGCCTTTGTCTCTTATCGAAGGTCACTTGCAAATGCTTTAAGATTTGAAACACTAGCATAATAACAAGTAGCCTGGCTGATTTTGCAAACTCCTCTTGCAAAATTTTCAGACACTAATGCACATTTTTATGATTAGAATAAAGGGTAGGAAATAGACTAATTTCATGCAATGGCTAGAAGCTAATGGTAATGAATTCAAATTCAAAGGAGTATATTACAGATAGGTAGGTACCAGGACAATTTACCTAGGGAAGCAATGGATACTTACACACCTAAAATCCCTATAGGGGAAGAGCAAATATTTTAAATCTTTTCTTCCAGAAAGTCAGAATATCATCATCTCAAAAACTATGAAAAACTTGAACATTTCTTCGTAAGTGAAATATTTTGACATCTCTTTACAACATGACTTCGGGCTTTTTACCGGGTCCCTCAATGTGCCATAGGAGGTATTTTGGGACATTCCAGGAGGAGCCATGTGGGAACACAGTGTGGAGGATGCAAAAAGGAAAAAAAAAAGCAGCTGTCTACTTTGCTAAAAATGAAGAATTTGGGGATTCGTGCTACAATGTTTAGCCCTCCTGTGATTATTATTCTTCAAACACAAGCCAGAAGTTTTACAATATCACGTAGTACTTCTGACCTATTTTTTTTCTGCAGGGATTGAGCCCTACAGGATGCAGACAGGGTTATTCCTCAATTTGGAGATAAGGATGTGAGCACTCAGTGCCTAGATCAGCCCAGTGCTGAGAGATAGAGGAGAGCAATGAATGAAAACTTCCAGGGTCTCTTCAAAGGGGAGCCTGCCATTTATCTCACACTGTATTGTGGTAAACAAAACTCGAAGGATAATACATTAGGGAACAATCAGACTAATGATCTGCAGAGATTCTTGTGTTAATGTTGTCTCTTTATACTAGAAGTATGCTTTTAGCTAAATACCTTTTCAGTTCCCTTCCTGGGTATATAAATGAATAAAAGGGTGATAATGCACTTTCATTATTTTAGGAACATATTTGCACCTTAATGAAAGAGCTCTTGGGGGGCGCGAAAGACAGAGATACAAGCGCTTAAACTAATAGGAAAATGTTTTGTGGATTATGCAAGATATGAAAATATAAACTTCTCACCATGCTATCATCTTCATCTTAAAGAGAAAAAAAAAAAAACAGTCAAACTTTATCCTATCATTGCATCATACACCTTATTTCTGTAAGTTTTCTGGAAGAAACCTGCAGTACAGTTTCTTGGACAGCCAGAAAATGAAGAATTTGTTTCAACACGTGAAATCACAGTTTTCTTTTCTGACAAATATCATCTCTTAAAACAATGACTGACTATTCTTGAAATATATACAGCCACCAGCAACCTTGAGACACCAATCCAGGAAAAAAGTTGGGGCTCTCTGATCTTAACCATTTAAAAGGTGTGCATTTTTAAGGAAAATTAAAATAAAATTTATCATCTGTGATACATTAAATTTACTTATGAATTATGGAGTGGTCAAGTTCTGGTCTTATATTCTTCTTGACTGTTCTCAGGGCAACAACTTCTCAAGTCTAATGCAGCAAATTTTTTCCCTTCAGATGGTCCTTCTTAACTTGGCGTTTGGTGATAGAAAAAAACCCCAAAAACCCACATACAAAAAAAAGAAAAACTGTGGATAAAATCTGAAGTAAAAATGTGAAGCAATGTGAAACACAGAAATATGCCAGCATTTGATCTAAGGAGCCTACAGAATTACCACAGTGAGCATATGTTCATGTTCAAAGATAACAGACATTTTTGATAACCCTTCCTAAACTTAGCTCAATTCTGATTTACATATTTAAATATTCCTTTTTTTTTTTAATTACTTAAATCAGGGTCACCTTCATCATTTGTACAGAAATATACACACAGCTTTCACTTGTATAAATGTTTAATTGCAAATATTGCACCTCAATTTTTATACAGCGAATCTGCATCAAATTGCTCATTTTCTTATTCAGTAATTTTGTAATGTATAATTGTATTTTGTTTCCTTGCATATGTGTCAAAACTCTGTCTGCAGAAATGATACTTGAATCTCATTCCTCCTCATCTGACTTCACTATTTGTTGGATCTATTTTCTCTCTCCTGCATAATCTTCCCTTTTTAACTCCTCAGTAAAGGCCTCCTGGACAGCAGCAATCCAGCTGGTTTAAGATTTTTATCAGAACTTCTGTATTTCCAGGAAAAGCTTTGGGAACTCGTAATTCTAACACAAGCCATTACTGCTAAACATTTCTGACTAGCTCATTATTAGCCATGACTGAAGATCATTTGGAGTGGACAGACAAAGAGGGTGATATAATAGCATAAATCCCATCATTCCATTAAAAGCATAGGTAAATGCCTAAAAATGCCAAATCACAAGATTACCTCAAAACATTATGGAAGTTTCTTAAAAATGCAGATGTTTTGGATTTTTTTTTAATGCATTTTACTTGTGGGAACCATGGCATTCACGGGAACCACACAGGAACATTCACAATTTTACCTATAAAAATAAATTTTAAAAGTCACACCTTCCTCAGCAGCTGATCGTGGTCGGCTGTGATGAACTACGAAGACCCAAGTATGTATTGCTAAATGTAACATTTAAGCTGTGAATGTTTCTGTCTGATTTTTGGCTAAAACACAAAGCTGTATTTCCAAGCTGGCCTTTGCTGTAGACACTTTTCCATCCAGAACTAGCTGGTCCTTCTGGCTCATTCACCTCTCCAGCTGCACTACTGACTTGGAGGATAACAGCAGTCTGGAACTGGGGCCTGATAGTGCTGTGTAAATATCTCAATCCTTCTTGGAACAGACAAAGGAAGTATTTTCTCCTTTTTTTTTTTTTTTTCCCCCTCCCTTAAGTGAGATCTGATTAGATTCTTAAAGCCAAAATTCTCCATCAAGGTATCACAAATACTCTTATTAGGATGGATAGATCTCATGGCATTTGTATGAGAAAAAGCTGGGCTTCTAATCAGGTCAGTTTTGGAGCTGTATTTGTGTTCCACATGTAATTACCCTCCACGGGCCAGGGAAGCTTGCCAAAGGCACTGCTGTAGCTTTTTACAGCAGGTTACATACTCGCATTTTTATATATGAATCTCTAAAGATACTTCAGGGCAGTACTGGAGAAGCAAACTGCATTGCTTGCTGTGCCAGTGGATATGCAGCTTCCATGGATTCAAACAATGTTTGCTCTTTACTGGGAAGTTTTGAAAGTCCTGCATCCATTTTTACTTGGGCTACACTATTAAAAGCAAACAAAATACAGCTCACAGTGTTCAAGGGCAGGCATTAGCTCTGCTATCATTCATGTTCTTGGTTAACAAAATCCCTGGGGTCATTTGTCAGTGTTATGAAGCTCCCACAGTGAGTGCAGCCAGCCATGCCATTCAACGTGCAGAGCACTGGGTATACCTGCCTTCCTAGAAAGGCCTGGGGCAATGGATGAGCTCATTATAGGGTTAGATAAGCATTTTAAGGCTTTTTGCTGTTTTCATAGTCAGTTCTTTGCACTGGCTGCTGGAGGCACTTCCATACTGCCAGGAGCGAGCAGGGATTAATCTGATTCTTTCCCATTTATGAATATTAGAGAATATACCAAAGCATATCCAAGTATTTTGATAGTAGCTACACCTTTTGTACATTGAGTAACTGGGTTTTCAGAATAAAATGACCCCTCAGTGCTTTTCCACTAACTACAGCTCTTGCTCCTTCCACTAGCAGAGCTCCTGCCCTTGAAGTTCTACACCTTGAACCTCACCTGCCTTTAGCAGCATGTTACCTACCTCATTCTCTCCAAAATGTGGAACACACAGGGCTGGCTGTTCTCCACTGAGGTGTGTGCAGAGGAGCCATCCAGAGGGGAGCAGCACTGTGGACCATGCTCTCCTCGACAGTTCACCCTGGGAGAGCTGCTTTAGCTTCAAGGGGAGGGAGAAGTAGAGATGTAGGCACAGGAGGGCTGGAAGAGGACGAGGTTCATACTCAGTTGCCCCGGAAGGTGCATCTGCAGGTTCAAGATTAGAATCATTACGTTTGGAAAGGACCTCTAAAATCATCGAGTCCAACTATTAACCAACGCTACCAGGTGCACCACTAAACTCCAAACACCACATCTACATCTATACATTTTTTTGAACATTTATTATGTGGCACAGCCACCAGACAGAGAAATTTTTTAAATCAGGGTGCACTGAACAATGTTATATATTCACCAGCTCTGCAACCCATGGTTTAAGAAGATGTTTTAAGAAGACATTTAAGAAGACGTCATTAAAATAAGAGGTTTAGGCTCGGCTGCTGTACATTTTGGAAGTGTTCCCAGTGAGAAAGGTGCAAGGACTGCACTGACAATGAGTTAAAATTTAACAGGAATAATAATGGTTAGGACTTCATTGATATCCTGATACATGAACTCCTTCTCCCTGTATATTTATCTTCTCAGTCTTTGAGAAAGGTACTAACAAATATTTGGGCTGAAGTGACACAGTAACAATATTTGGCTTTTAATACTGAAACTGAAGAATGAAAATATCCAAAAAGGAGTAAATAAACTCTTTGAAATGTATTATTTAGTTGATTTCTACGAAATGGAAAGAATAATTTATTAATTCAATGTTTTTATTGATAAAGAAACTACCTCTGGTTTATGAATGTCACTCAGTGGGTTAAAAGATCTCACTGGGCTGGTAGTGTGAATCAAGGCCAGACATAATTATTTAATTTTGTTTTCTGCACATGTGTTTATTAATATTTTTGAAAAATATAAAACTGATATCACAGATCTGTATATGCATGAAATATTATGATAAATATTAATTATTCAGGGCAAACAAGGCATCCTATGGTTTATATATAACAAGCTCTGCAAAGAGACATCAAAACCAGCAATCTGAATAGTTCCCTGTTACAAAATCTTCCTTCACATGAAGCACATGCAAAATCACCAACTAAGAAAAAAATGTCTCTACTATCAAACTTCAATTATTAAAATGAGCCAATCCTTTGCAATGGTATTATTATGGATCTTAGTTTTCCATTATTCTGGAAATAAAGTTTTTCAGCAAATTGGGAAGTTTCTGTTTTCTGCAACAGTATGATTGGAGAAAGTCAGACAAATGTATCTAGAATTGCATGGATGTGTCTGGAAAGCATTTGTTTAGCAGTGTTAATCAGTTGTGTCAGTTCTTCCTAAAATTAATTTCTTAAAAATTGAAATTGGGAAAATTGAAATTATATCTCCAAGTTAGACTTGATACAAGCTCTCCTATGAAACCTTGCAGAGCTATAGAACTATGGTAGCAAATGTAATTGTGGATGCCATAATACAGCATCAATGAAAGGAGTCTAGAAAAAAAGGTTAAAAGGATCCCTAATAAAACCTTACTGAAATGCATTCAGTGATTAAAACAAAACAAAAGCCAAAAACCCCAACATAAAAGGCATAATAACTATACTTGAGTCCTGGATAATGTCCTCCTTCTACTATTAATCTGGTATTTGGCACAAGAATACAGCACATAAAGTTACAGACTTTTTCTATAATCACAAATGCAATAAAATGAGATATTCCCAAGTTTCCTGTGTTCATATAAAAGAAAACCATAATTTTAAAACAAAGACCTGTATTTTATTCCACTTTTTCAGGAAGGCTTCAAATCTTAGGAATGCAAAACAAACAAAAAATTATCTCAGACCAAAAAGAACTGCCTTTTATTTGTTTCCTTTCTGACTTATGTCCAAAAGCCTGCTGATTTTTCATTCATCTGCATCAAATTAAGTTCAGGTGAGAGGCTGGATTTGTTCACTTTCTTTTCTCCTAGGAAAGCTGACCTGGTTATTGAACTTTTCTCTGTGGTAAAATACTAAAATATAACTTCTTTGGTGCTGCTATTTTCCCGAGGCATTCACAAGCTGCACAGTTCTGCATCCCTAGGTTATCAAAGTCTGCTTACACAAAAGCCTTAAGTGGAAAAGTGAAATTAAAGAAAAATCTTTTTATCATTTCTACATTATGAAGAATAATTTAACTTGTTCCATCTCATAGGTAAAAAAATATTTATTGAATAGCTAGTTATTAAATTGGCTAGATTAATAGCTAGATTAATATATATAGGGCTTAACTAGTTTAGTTGCCTTCATTTATCTACCAGTATTCATTTCCCTACAAGAGTATACCATAATCTTCATCCTTTGTCTTCTAAATACCAGACATTTTGATGTTTGCCTGGTGCCACCCTATGTTCAGTATATAGTTTCATTACAGAAGGATGAAATGGGGCTTGCAAATATAAAATCTCCCAGGTTGCCTTTGGGTGACTATAATACTTGAATGTGAGAGTTATTGTAATGAAGCTGATAATTACATCATATGCAAAAGGAAATGTGGAGGATGGTGGAGGAGTACACTGCCCCAGAGCTGTATATTTTCTGCAGTGGGAGGAAAAGGTTAACTCTTGTCTTGCTAAATTCAAAGGCAGATTTGCCACAGCAAGTTGATGAACAGGCAGCTTCTTTCCTGACACACTAGTTCCTCTATAAACGCTAACAGTTGGACTAACTTCAAAGTTGGCTCTTTTAAGCCTTAAATATGTTTATGCAAGCAGCCACCATTTCCTGCACTAGGTGGAAAATACTGCAAATGTTAGTTGAAAAAATAGTGAAAGCTCTTGCAGTTGTGCCAGCAACAAACACACTTTCCAACAGGCGTTTGATGGAGCTTTCATGTCTCATTGTTGCTGTATTTCCATGTTTTGAGGTTCCAGCAAAGTGATCAAAATATGTATATTACCTTACTTCAAAACAAAACAAAACAAAGGGGGAAAAAAAAAGGAAAAAAGAGAAAAAGAAAAGTCTAAATACCTTGAATATCTTGCATTCACAGCAAATTACAATTCATGATATTCCTCCCTTCGTTTTGTTCATTTTCTGGCTTCTGAAAAGTGGACATGTTGCTTCCTTAGTTATATTTACAGCACATGGTAAAACTGACTTCTCTGTGATCAAAATCCTCCATTTTTTACTTGCCTGTTTGTTTTTAAGCACAATGTTGCTCTCAGGCTGCATAATAAACCAATGTTTAATAACAGCAACTTCTTGTTTTTGTTCTTTACATCACTGTCATTTAGAGAATTATTTTAAAATAGCATAATGGCTTCAAAGACTGTTTTTAATAACAGTAGATGGTCAGAATTTCACTTCAAGCTAGTATTTCCAGTGCATTTTACATTAATTATACTTTAATTAGAAGACTACATCAATTGGAACAACCGACTGCATATGCTGGTTTTGTCTGGGATTGAGCTAATTTTCTTCATAGAGCTATAAAGGGGCTGGGTTTTGGATTTGTGCTGCAAAGTGTTGGTAATTTGGGGATGTTTTAGCTGTTGCTGAGTAGTGCTCAGGCCTTTTCTGCTTGTCACCCCACTCCACCAGCTGGGGGCCATAAGGATTTGGGAGGGGACACAGCTGGGACAGCTAACCCCAACTGATCCAAGGGGTATTCCATACCATACAGTGTCATGCCCAAATGTGGGGGAAGAAGGAAGGAGGGGATGTTCAGAGTGATGGTGTTTGTCTCCCCAAGCCATTCTTATGCCCAACGGAGCCTGATTTCCCTGGGGATGGCTGAACACCTGCCTGCCCACGGGAAGTGGGGAATGAATTCCTTGTTTTGCTTTGCTTGTGTTTGTGACTTTTGCCTTTCCTATTAAACTGTATCTCTACCCACAGGTTTTCTCGCTTTTACTCTTCCTATTCTGTCCCCCATCCTGCTGGGCAAAGGTGAGCAAGTGGCTGCATGGGCGTGAGTTCCTGGCTGGGGTTAAACCACAACACCATGTAAAAGTGATCATTTCTTAAAGCACAGCATGAGTAAAGGGGGAAGATCAATAGTTAATTACCTCATGAGTCCATGTAAAGGGCTACTGAACAGTTGAAGAGAGAGCAAATTCTGCTCTTATTTAAGATGTGACAACACCTCAGTATGAAGGTGTGACTTGTGCAGCCAAGCCTGCTAGACACCTCCCCTGGGCAATGGAAACAGTGGTTAAGCAGTGACACTTCGATGTGGCCTTGTGCAGCTTCAGGAAAGGTGTAAAGCATGAGGCACGTACATGGTGTTAACCCACACTCCAGCCTGCCCTGCAGCATCGACACTCAGAGAGGTGCCACGAGCTACCCAACGCTACTCTTGTAACTTCATTCTGCTGGCAGGACTTACCTTTAAATGACTTTTTGGAATTATTCCAGATATATCACAGGGTAATGAATGTAAGAATTGGAAAACAAAGCATTTGTTGATCTGCATGGCTTATATATGACCTTTGTCCACAAACTAAATGTGCTAAAGACATTTAGTATGTCTTGGATGCCATACATGAAGACATTATTTGAAAAAATGAAGCTTGGGCTTCTAAAATAAATTTTAAAAAAGTATATAATCATATTTATATACATTCTGAATTTCTTCTTGTTCTTTGAAATTATGTTTTATATTTGTGGTTGAATCATGCAAAATTCTACTTGGCACACGAGCTCATATTCTTTTACAAGTCAGTTGGCTGCCTTATAGTGCATCACTGTATTGGAAAATCACAGCTGGTGAGAACTGGCACATCATGGAAAAATACAGAGCATTCTACAGATATTTTAAGTTCTGAAATGGGCAGCTGGGGAAAGACAGTGCAGAACCCTTGTCAAACAAAAAGTGCATATGCAGAAATTACTCTGTGCCAAGAAACTCAAGAATGCTGCCTGCAGACAGTATATTTTAAACACCCACTACAAAAGTAGTCTGAAATATAGTGAGTTCTGAAACAAGGTCCACCTTGGCACCTAGTGATCATATTCCTGTCCTCCAATGAGCCACGTTTGTAACAGAGGTCTGAAAACACAAAAGGTGGTAGAAAATTGTAGTAGTGTTGGCTGTCAGTACTTCTAGTCCTGTCCTTCTAACAGCCAGTAGTGACACTCCCAACACCAGATGGTAAAAGTCATGACAGTAGC